CCTCTCAATTGTTTAAGGTTAGCAGGTAAGGGCCATGTTTGTACAGCCTCTATCTTTTTAGGGTCAGTAGCCACACCTGCAGGTGATATGTAATGGCCTAAATACTCAATCCTGTCAGTTGCAAAAACACACTTGCTTCCTTTGGCAAACAGTTGGTGTTGCACCAGTAAATCAAAAGTTGTTCTGAGATGTTGTAGGTGGTCCTCAAGGCTCTTGCTGAATACCAGGATGTCATCAAAAAATACCAGGATGAACTTCCTCATATAGGCTTTAAAAATATGGTTCATCAGCCCCTGAAAGCTTGATGGTGCATTAGTTAGGCCAAAGGGCATAACTAAGTACTCATAGTGGCCTGAATGAGTTCTAAAGGTTGTCTTGTGAATATCTGAGGGTGCCATCCTGATCTGGTGACCAGCCCTCAGATCTATCTTGGAGTAGATCCTGGACCCTCCTAACTCATCCAATAGCTCCTCAATGAGTGGGATAGGGAACTTGTCCTTGATAGTTACCTTATTCAGGGCCCTATAGTCTACACATAGCCTCCAGGAGCCATCCTTCTTGTTCACTAGGACTATAGGTGAGGCATATGAACTAGAGCTGTATTGAATGAGGCCTTGATTCAGCAATTCTTGTGTCATTTCCTCTATAACACTCTTCTGAATTGGAGAGTACCTATAGGGTCGAGCATTCACAGGTGCACTACCTGTCCTTAGAGGGATGTGATGATCAAATACCCCCCTTGAGGGTGGTAGTTGCTTAGGTTCTTCAAACAGCTCCTTGTACCCTTCCAACAGCTCTTGTATTTCCATAGGAGCCTCCTGTTGCACTGGAGTCAACTTATTCTCACTGTTCTTCTCCTGACAAACCTTAATCATAAAGATTTGTGCAGTGTTGGCTGAGATGTTGTTGAGGGCCTTAGCCTGCACTGTCTTGAAAGAAGGGGAAATACCTTGCAGGGTAATAGATTTACCCTTATATGAGAATTGCATCCAGAGCTTGGCAAAGTTAATCTGGATATTCCCTAGTTTACACAACCATTGTATACCTAGGACCACATCACAACTGTCTATTGGTAAAATTAAAAAATCATCAGTAAATACCATCCCTTGCATCAGCCATGTAAACTCCTTGCTGCCCTTCACAGACTGGATTACCCTTCCATCAGCCACTGAGACATCCTGTGGGCTCATCTGATATACCTTGCAACCAAGCCTTCTAGCTGTCTGTTCATTGATGAAATTATGAGTGCAGCCACTGTCAATAAGGACATTGATAGGTTTCTGCTCAGTGAAACCTTGTATTCTCAATGTCCTATACCCCTTAGAACCATTCATGGCCTCTAATGATATCTCACAGTTCTCAATGGTCTCTTCCACAACTTCTTGCTCCTCACTGAGTTTCTCAAGCTCAGGGTCTTCTTGCACCACCTCTGAGCCTTCCTCAAGCTCTATAGAGTACAAGTGCCTCTTGGCCTTGCATTTGTGTCCTGGAGTGAACTTTTCATCACAGAAGAAACAGATTCCATTAGCCCTCTTCTCATCCATTTCAGCGGGTGTCAGTCTCCTTCTCCTATTAGTATCCAAGTTTGCAGCAGCAGGTTTATGATAGATCATTGGATTTCCTTTTGGTAGGCTATTGGTTCCTTGGTAGGGAAATGGTTTGGTGGTGTTTGAGGCTGATATAGTTTCTTTGATTGCCTTGCATTGTGCAACAAAGCTTGCTTCCTGTAGCCTAGCTAAATAGTAGGCCTGTGGGAGACTTGTAGGATTACACACCTTGACTGCATTCCTAAGCTCAGGCTTCAAGTTGTTAAGGAAAATGCTGATGCATGCTCTGTAGATAGATTAATCCTAGTCATAACACTCACAAAGGCTTTTTGATAGTCCTTCACTGACCCTGTATGTTTGATATTCATCAACTCTGTCATGGGGTCTGAATACTCAACCCCAAAACTGTCACAAAGTGCCCATATATACTCCTCCCAAGTAGGTAAGGGCATCTGACCCCGGCTCCTCATGTAGCCTAGGTGCTATTGAAGGGCATCTCCCTCAAAATGTAATGAGACTAACTTCATCCTTTGTTGTATAGACACTTCTTCATCTGCAAAAATCTGCTCCACCTTGTAGAGCCAAGTTCTTAGGTCTTCCCCATCAAACCTTGGAAATTCAACGTTGGTGTATTTGGTGTATGGTATATTAGGGAGAGAAGCATGGTTGCCACTATGGCTTGGCATCTGGTTAGGAGCATTAGCATAGTAGAGATTCTGAGGAGGAGTGGGCATGTATGGGGTATGGTGGTATAAAGGAGGAGGTATGTGACTAGGCTGAGAAAAATAAGGGGTCTGAAATGGAGGATGTTGATTATAAGGCAGGTAGGGTGGTGTTACTCCCATAGTTCCCTGATTCCAATTAACTGTGGGTTGGTAAGTTCTTGGACCAGGAGGTGGAGCTGGGAAGTTTAAGGGCTGAAAGGCAGTAGATCTAGGATGTGGAGAAAGGAGATTTGGTGGTACATAAGGTGGGAGTGGAGGCACAGTAGTGATGTTACTCACAGCTGGTCTCAGAGGGGGTACTGGTGGTGGTGGTTGGCCTACATTGGGCTGAGTAAGGTTGGAAACTGCACTAGTGGTTAAGGGATTTGCATCAGAAGTTTTGGGGTTTTGAGTAGAGGGAGCAGCAGGAAAAAACGAGAGCATTTGTGGGTGTCACATTAATGTTACTAGCATTAGGAGTTGCTAATTCTCCAAGGTCAAAAGGTTTGTCATGAGGGGAGTATAACTCACCTTCTTCCAGTGATGCCTTCTTGTCTCTCTCAGGTCGCTTGCCTCCAAGAATAACCTCGTTAAGGACCTCCCTTAGCTCATTCAAGGAGTCCTCTTGCTGCCTACTGTTCAGCTCTTGATCAGACTCCAGCTGCTCTTGTCGAGCTGAGAACTTGGACATTTCAGTGGAGATTTTGTGTAGTGTGTTCATAACTTCATTCATTTCGCTTGCCATAATCACGGAGCCAAGAAAGTGCTCTGATACCACTGATATGAACTGAGCAATAGAACAGTAAAAGAAGGAAAAAAGAAGAAGCAAGAAGGCTGCTGCAGAAAATAGAAAGAAGGAAAAGAAGAAGAAGCTAACTATGGTAAAATGAGTATATTCTCTCAATGATACTCTACTACAAGAGGATAATTACAATATATAGAGGACAAAAAAGAAGATGCCTCGTCTGACATTTACCCTATTTGGACACTAGGACTGTTCGTATAAGGGGTAGAGAAATTACAGGGGTCAATGTGTAGTTACTGAAACTTTTACTTAAAACTTAGTGGGACTAAACTAACAATTATGAAACCTACCTTAAGCCTCTTTCCTAACTAACTTAACTAACAAGTACTGGTCCCTAAGCGTCATGTACAATCGACGCAAGCACTCGTATCATAGAGTGATATGAATCAAACGGGTAATAGATAAACAGAAGTGAACCTGAATCGACTTGCGAGAAAAAGAAAAGAAAACAACTGCCGGAATCCGACAATCCACAGGAACGGAGACCTCCAAACAGACCTCAAATCTACTAGGTTTGGGTGGTGCTTTCAAGCTGCTTTTCGGGCTGGTTTGGGAGTTGATTTGGGTCTGTTTTTAAGCTAGTTTCAAGCTGAAATTTGTGGAGAATTTTACTGGTTTTTCAGCGAAGAAGCAGTTGAATTTTCTGCTGTTGTTTGAAGCTTTAGGGACTGGTTTTCATGGTGGAATCAGCTAGTTTTTGAGGTATTTTCAGGTTGTCTTAATGGCTGAAAAGGTGTGCTTCATGGCTGCTTAGGAGCGAAGAAGATTAAGCTCAAAGGGAACAGCTCTGTTGAAGAAGCAGCAACGGCTGGAGATTATCGCTAAAGAGCTTAGGGTGTTCTCTAGCTTTTGAAGAAGATGAAGCACTGGCTATTTTTCGATGGCTGGAGTAAGATTAGGTTAGGTCAAATAGAAATGGGTATGGGCTCAATTTTTTGGGCTTGAAAAAATTTTGGTCATCAATTTGGGCTAATTAACTTTGGGGTAGGAAGACTAAATAAAAAAAAATGATTTTTTCTTTTTCTTTGGTTTTAAAATCTAATAAAATCTTAAATTAATCATAAATCAATCTAATTTGTAAAAGTTAAAATTATTTATCTATTAAAATAACTAATTAACTTAAAACTAAATGAAAACACTACTTTTTAAAGACTAAAAGCTAAATATGTAAAAATGATATTTTTTTGTGATATTCTTAATAAAATTAATTCCTATGTGCAAATTGGACCTAAGATGACATGAAATTAAAACGTGACATTTTTTGTGATTTTTCTATGATTTTAAAATATTAAAAATGCATGAAATGCAACTAAATAAAGAAAAACTTCTAAAATCCATTAAAAATCATTTTTGGTTTATTTTAGGAGCTATCTTCATGTAGGGCAAAAATCACGTGCTCACAAGCTCACTGAGAACATGACCCTTGATAAGAGGGTGTGGAGGTCGAGGATTAGGGTAGAAGGTTAGTGGGTAGATTTTTAATTGCTCACCGATAGTCTTAGTAGCACGCATGTCCCTTTATATTCTTAGACTTTTATTACGTTATATGATTTTGTTCGCCTCAGGTATTGTATTCCATGTTGCTATTATTTGGTACTACTTATCCTTTATCTCCCTCTTTTTCTTCTCTCTTCCTTCTCTCTTCCTTTCTTGATTTTCTTCTTTTTCTTCTTCTCACCCTTTACGAGCAGAGGGTCTATTGAAAACAATCTCTACCTGCATTAGGTAGGGGTAAAATCTGCTTACGAACTACCCTCCCAGACCCCACATGTTGGAAACATACTGGGTTTATTGTTGTTTTTTATTAAAAATCTTGTTTTTATTGATATGGGTACACAGGCGACGCGTGTATAGTAAAACTAGTCTTATAATTGCAGTAACTTTGTGTAAAGGCAGAAAAATGTTCTCCATGGTTCAGACAAACTAACCAGAAAAACAAGAGACTAGGGAAAGGGCCACAAATGCCAGACAAAAAGGGATACAAGTGATTAGAAAACAAATCATGTTAAAGTTACCACAAATCCATCTATGGGGTTGTGGAAGAAAATCTAGTACCTAACCAAACTAGAAGCATTAGGGTCCTCAAAATGGTGTAAATTTCAACGAGAGAATGGAAGAGTAATGCCATCTTCATGACTTTGTTTTTGCAAATATATATAACTGAAATTTACGAGTTATAAAAATACATGAAAAAAAGAAATTACAACTAAAGAAGAAACAACTCTCAGGAAATCGAGAGAAACAATGACTAGTTGCCCCAAGAAAGAACATATCGACGTGACGAAAATTTGCCTATTCAGTTGAACATATTAGGAAGAGGTCGAACGGCCATGAAAGCATCTACCATCTGCAGGAAAGACCATTCAACAAGCAAGTAAATTAGTGGAATTGAAAACATAAAGAAATAGTAAGAAAAACATAGAGCACGTCGAATGAGAGAGAAGCATAAAAAGGAAAAAGGGATACAGTAATTTGGACCAGAAAAAGATGCACTAAAGAAGAACCTCACAACCCCCTTATTTTTTTTTATCCCTGAGCGCACATAATCGAAGAGGCAGCAAATTGAGTGTTGAAATAACAGTGAAGGAATATCATGCTCATAAGAGGAGCAATTCACACCCTTGACATATCTAGTGACTTGTCCGAGGAAGAGTAAACACCACTCAGCAACAATGAGTTAGGTAAAGGATCCTATGTAGTAAAAGAAAATGGAGAACTGGTGCTAATTTCAATCTCTGTGTTCACTTAAGCTAGCAGACCAAGCTGTATTTTTTGGCCACTAAAGAGAAAATTATGTCATTTGAAATTGAGATTAGTCAGGACATATTGACTTGATAATCTAAGGGAATTTGAAATGGAGAATGAGTACTTTAAAATTCGGAAGAGCTAGTTCACTTCAGGTTACACCAGAAGTTACTGTTAGTTACCTCATCAGTCACCAACGCCCTAGCCCGTCGATGTCTTTCAACTAGATCTGTTAGAACTTCAGTGAGCCTCTTTTTCACTTCACCTGTTAGCATACGTCCAGACCCATATTCCTGAAAGCAAGCATATGACCATTATTGGTAACTTCAACTACTGGTTAGTCCTTGTGTGAACTAAATTAAACACCGTATGCTGGAGTTCTACCAATGAAAGTTTTGAATTGTAAAGAAATGAGATGACAAAATATGTACACTAACCTCTCTAATGCGTTCCAGCTCAGCATCATCGTCCAGGAAAAAGCCAAGATACTTAAATGGTATATCAACCTAGACAATATCCAAGATGAGAGGTTTTACTTTGCTTTCTTCTTCTTTTTCCGTGGGTAAAGATGATACAAATTTTAGCAATCCAATCGAGAAGAGAACAGGCAGAGACAACCCGCAGTCTCAAGATGCTATATTCAGGCACATACAACAACAACAACAACAACAACAACCCAGTATAATCCCACTTAGTGGGGTCTGGGGAGGGTAGTGTGTACGCAGACCTTACCCCTACCCTGGGGTAGAGAGGCTGTTTCCAAATAGACCCCCGGCATCCTTCCCTCCAAGAACTTCCCACCTTGCTCTTGGGGAGACTTGAACTCACAACCTCTCGGTTGGAAGTGGGGGTTGCTTACCATTAGAGCAACCCCTCTTGTCAAATTCAGGCACATACAGTTATTTAATAGAAATGCAAGTCCTAGGAATTAGCTAGTGGGTCCATATAAATTTGGTTACCTCCAAGTTCGCTCCGTACTTTCTGTGCAACTCAATTGAGTCTTGCCCACCAGAGAATGCATATCTGTTTATCTGCACATAGTTACAATTTAAAGGGTCATTTATTCTGCTTTGTAGAGATAAGTTATTTAGCATAGAGTAATCAGTCTGGATAATATCCATCTAGGAAACCTATATAAGAACTTCTAAAGGGGAAGCAAACTCCAATAGCCTCAGTTTCCGGTGTTACCTAGCTCAAAATTACTGTAGTGGGACTTGACTCCTACGCTAGGGCATAGTACCCCCCGACCCCCACCCCCGCCCCAAAAACCCGAAAAAACCCAAAACC